TCGATATCAAAGGTGCATTCGATTCGGTGGATAGACATGCAATTTGGGACTTTCTACTCAGGAAAGGTGTACCTGAGAAATATATGAATATTATCCGAGCATTATTTGCGTGTAGCTCGGGAAGAGTGAGGGCTTACGGCAAGTTGTCGTCGCCCTTTAATGTCTCCAGCGGCGTGAGACAAGGATGCCCGCTGTCACCTTTCCTCTTCAACTTCGCTGTTGACGAAGTCATGGAAATCGCGTTTACAGGACACGACTTAGAAGGTGTGGAGCTACTCCCAGGAGAACGAGTTCTTGACTTGGAATATGCAGACGACATTTCTCTTATCTGTGACAGCTCCAAGACGTGCCAAGCGGCACTGGGCAGATTAGCACTGGCTGTCAGCCGCTTCGGGCTTAGCTTCGCACCCTCGAAGTAAAAAGCTTTCCTCCAAGATTGTCAAGGATTGCCTCCTGCGGTGACCGTTGGTTGGGATCTGCTAGAAGTCGTTCAGAAATTCCACTACCTGGGAATTTGTATCAACGCTCGTGGGATTGAAGATGAGATTAAAAACCGTATAGTAAATCTCAAAGTGCTTTTGCTAGTCTTCGCCACCTATGGCGACGGCCCGACATCACTCTCGCCCTGAAGGGTAGATTGTACAATGCAGCGGTAGTTCGACCTTACTGTAGTGTTGTGAAACCTGACCCCTTAGATCAACGGACATAAATAGTAGTCACGTTCGACTACCGGTGCCTTCGCGGTTTGGCTCACATCTGGTGGGAACACCGCCTGAGCAACCAGCGTGTTCGACGTCTTGTTTACGGCACAGGAAAAAGAAATGAACCGTTCAACACCATCATTTCACGCACCAGGCTCCGACGGCTCGGCCACGTGTTACGCATGCCAGCCCACCGACTCCCGCGAAGTTCGTTGTTTGCGCGCCGGGGATGTGGATGGAAGAGGAGGAGGGGTCGCCAAGCAATGACTTGGTCGAAAGGAATGAAAGTCCTCACTTCTGAGTTGGCCTCGGTTGGAGCTTCACGGCTCCCTGGTTGAGGTCGGAAAGACGATGAACACGTTTGGCTGGACACACTTGCTGACGTGGCAAGGAGCCGACCTCAGTGGCGTTCCTGCTGTGAGTTTCTTTGTCCCTCCCATCCGTTTTAGTCTCACCTCCAACTACGATCTCATTTCGTAGCATAATATAATACTATAGCATAATTTTTCTTGTTTCCCAGTAGCCGGCTGGTAGCATACCGGAACGACGCCCATCTGTTACCAGTAGCTCAGCTGGCATGCAACTGTTGTATTTTTTTTATGTATTGCGGCACAATAGCTGAAGTGTTTCCCACCTCTACCTAACGTGCATAATGATGATGATGAAGAGATCGGGTAACATGTGCACTGTGCTCGGTGAGTTGCGAAGACAAACAGCTGAGAGCAGGACAACCCGTGTCTCATTTTCTGAGTCTACTGTTACTCGAAGAATTCCAGGTTCACCAAAGTGCACTGAGGTCGAGTGACGCGCTACGCGTTGCAACATTGCAGGCTCATCACGAATACCAATCGCCGCGCAGATGGAACTCCACTGGTTGCGATCGTCTTGCGATTTGCCTTGAATTGTGCCAAATTTGGACTCGGGAACATTGGTGCACACAAGAAGCGTAGTTTTGTCTAGCGAGTGTCGGCTTTATACTTTTTGCCGGCAATTTGAGCTGTTTAGAAGGCACCACTAGAGTTGACTGTGAAAGCTGCGTTGCTCCATGTGTGCTCGGTACAGAGTCTGGACTTACGTGTGTCGCTCCCGGTGTGTTTGTCGAGGTAATCGATGCGTACGTTACCTACTTGTTATCTGCACCGGATTGCCTTCGGCTCTGAGCTTTCGGTGTCTTGGCTGAATCACCAGTTGAAGCGTCTATGGTTGGAGAAGTGGAATCAGGCACGTTTGAGGCTCGTCCACTTATGGGAGTGAGGTTACCCAGTGGATTTAGAGTCATAGACGCTGCAGCGCGTTTGGAGCGTCTAGCTCTTCTCTTCGGCTTAGAGTCAGAGCTTACTTTGTCTGGTTGAGGTATTATCGTGGCCATATTTACCTCCGTGTGATCGATCTTAGTACTTACAAATCGCGCGATTATCTCAGTCAGCCTATCGCCCTTTTCATGAGCAAAGATAAACGGTTGACAACTGGAATGACTTGACATGTTGGATAATACCAAATTGTGTAAGCAACGTTGTTTGTCTGTCTCACTTCTTGGACAGATTTGCCTACACATTGTGGAGAGTACGATCTAATGCAGCTAGAACAGGTTATTCCGATTTTAAGAACTTTACCTCAGTTGTCTGCGCAACATAAGCGAGGTTGAACCATTGGGATGTTGGTCTTCCACTTATCGTTTGCGGTAAGGCCTATCTGAGCGCTCACCTTGATAAGCGTTCTTTGCGCCAGGCGTGACGCACAATCACTTCAAAACATGCACACGAATTGAGCGTTGTTCAACCGCAGCAAGGTCAGGCGGTCGAGACAGATGGAGGTAGTAACGCGCAGACTGTCGGATGCAGCGATCAATCAACTCGCAGCTGAACACACAGACCCACACAAAGCAGCAGCGTGTGTTGATCGGCCTGCCATAAGTGACGATGCAGGTGGAGGGTTCATAAGCGTCCCCAGAGCTGTTTATTTGATGAGCGGAGCGAAATGATTGTAACTTTGTTATGCTGCAACTTGCAGGGATGGTTGCAGCGTAGTTCGAGAGCCCACACCTTCTTCTTCCGAATGACACCAAAATCATTCCCGGAAAACTCCGGTTTGATGTAATTACACACGTAGAACTCGGCAAAGAATATGTCGAAAACTGGGAACTGGAGCAAGAGTCTAATCCACACAAGTTAGCTCCAAATGTTGAGAAGCACAGAGTACAGCTAGTCGAACTGGCGCGAATGAGCGCATGCAGTATATTGTGTGGGGAGAATTAGTGGCCACAGAGGGCAAAACGAGAGCCGCACTTGTGTGTGCCTACTGAGGGACCATGGCATAACGCATACATAATCAGGAATTACACTGAATTCGGGAGAATAAACACATTTCATTCAAAATAGTACAAGCTAAATGCAGCACGGTTCAGTTTAACGCTGCGAAACGATCATGATCCAAATTCCGAAGTGCGGTAGGCCAAGTTATCATGGATAGCATTGTGTGCATAAAAAGTATCAGTGCCAGTGAGGGAAATGAAGCACAACGCAAAAAGATGATTAGAGAAGAAGCGAGTAAAATCAGTCAGGATGGAATATGAAGAGCTAGATTCAAAATCGTCAACTTCCCAGTCACTGATGTACACTGTCTAGAGGTTCCCATCCAGGAAGACGGCACGCAGCAGCCTGATCAATAGCTCAGGCCGATTTTGCATGCTTCATTGCTCCGTTATACACTGAACACCTGCGGTTTTATCAAACTATGCTCAGCGATATCTTCTAATGCACGCTACGTAAGGTGCTTGACGGGCATACAGAAAACGTGTCCTAGCCAACCGAAGCCGTTCGAGGTAACCCACAACTCAGTGCGGCACAAGAGGGTTTCTAACCAGACACCAACTGCCGGACCTCAACATGCTCGGCCAATGTACTACTTTCCCCAGATGTTAGCAATACTAGAAAAGTACCATCGATAAAAACGGCCTTCCATGTCTTCAGCGCAGTGTCCGTGTCTCTGATCTATACCGAATTTAGCCCGGTGTTATACACCACGTTTTCGACGAACAGCCTGAGATCCCACTATCTCCGTAGATAGCTGAGCCTTTGATAAGTTGCACCAGTTTTGCTGGTGCGTGAAATAGTTTCAGCAATGGATCAATCGCAAAAGATGATCCCACTAGAAGAAATGCGATGTGATCAGCCAGTTATGAGTCTGGTTGGTGATAAAAACAGTGATGTCAGAAAAGTATTTTATACTACTTTGTAAATGATGAAACGCATAGAAGTATGAACAACCCTATCCAATAGCCCTTGCCTATCAAATGGGTCCGACCCAATGAGAACCATCATGTCGCCTGCAAACTCAAGGTTTTCCACTTAGTTATCCAGGGAACAGTTTATCCTAGACAGTTACCTGATCCGTGGAATTGTGGTGAAGAGAATTCATAATAAAACGGTGTTCCGCGCACGTTTCTCAAGAGTGGCTAGCACCAAACACTGGCACACCATAACTGGTGAACTCAGACGACCTGTAACAATTGGAAAAGTCCTGGACGGCCGTTTCTCTCAACGGATCGCCACTAAACGCAGTGGCATAAGATTTGTACGCGGATTAAAGTCTCTGGGTTACAGCTGACGTCCATATCTGACATGACAGTGTAACTGGGTGTGATAAAGCACCGCTAACCCTTTTCAATTCTTAGAGCTACAGATGGCCGATGGACCGTTGTTGACGAATCCCGAAATGACGCAACGAACTTTGTCTTTTTCACTTACCATGCTCATCTGACTCAGTTAGGCTGTCATGAAGTCCATCAATACACTGTAATCCCCCTGCCACTGTATTGTGAACATTTATAATCTTGTATTAAATACCCACAAAGGAAGAGCGTTTAAAATGATAGCTCAGAGCAATTTCGATCGGTAGTGCAGCACCACTCGACTGGGCCTCATATCATCGAATGGTAATATTAATGTGAGTAATAACAAATGCATTTTACTCAATGAGACAAAATTCAGGTAATAAGGAGATGTTTGAACGATGTACCGATTTTTGAGTGTTGGGTCAGTGTTTGAATTACACAAACACATGGCACCAACTAATTCACAAAAGAGCAAGTTAAGTTCCAATAGAGGCCAAACAGCGAAAAGAACGTGTACTTGACCACTGATCAATAAATTCTTCCTTTTTGGTATGAATCAAACGGCATAAATAGGACATTATATATATATATATATATATATATATATATATATATATATATATAATGGTACAGAAAGCGCATACATAAACGCACGCACTGCGCAAATGTTGTGGTTTCTATTTCAGCAACAGCTTCACCGGCGGACGAGCAGTGGGTCCCGGGACTAGCGGTGAGCACATCATGGAAATCTCAGATGAAATCTTGGCAACTCAATAATGGTATGCAATCGTACAGCAAGAGTTCTCTGAATGAACCCAAAATCACAGTACGGTCTGTACTCAGTTGGACTCAAACACCGGGTGGTCAACATGCTGCCAACTGCCGCTTGGTCAGTCGAACTCAATCATGGGGAGACGGAATGAGGACGGCTGGCGCTTACAGTTGTCGCAGTGACAAATGGGGTGCAATGCACTCCTTGGATAGCGAACAAGTCATGCCTATGGAAAAAGGTCGAGTAACCACAAGAGAGGGGCAAAGAACAGGATTCTTTCCGAACGTGAATATGACACCGATAGGAGCAGAGAGGCTTGTGCCAAGGAGAATGCAACCTAGTGCCTACAGTATGCCGGCTTTTGTCAGTATGCCTAATGTCAATGGGTCCCGATCGAGACAACCCAGTTTTGAAGAGGAATGTCCTAAAGAAGGGGTTACACAGGGCTGTAAACCGCCTTCAGCGAAGCGACCAAGATTGAACGCGGTGAAACAGGAGGCGGAGGCCAGGTGGATCCCAACGGGTTACCCCACAGACACGGATGGAGAGTGGTCCAGCGGAACCGCAATGATGGATGATAACGGTTCATTGATGAGCGACAGCGCGATGCCAGAGATGCAGGATAATCCGGGTGCCCAATCCAGAGCAACAGGTTGCGTGCCGTTCATCGAATACAGTCCTTACAAGGCGCCAAGACCACTGAGTAATATGGGAGTTTGTACACCAACAGATCCACTGGTCAACAACACGTTTGGAGGGCAAAATGCATACGATATGCAAAATAGCACAGAAGGACAATCGAGTGAATCGGCCACATATCGCTCCCAGAGTGGAGCCAGTGCAGACGATCCATACAGATCTCCAAGAAGTGAGTGAACTGTATTATTTGGTAGCAGTAGATTTGTCAAGAGAGTGGGACATCCTAAGCTTAAATAGACCCATTCTTGAAACAAAGATGTCGTGAAAATTGCAAGAATTCATGCAGAAGGTAGTAGGAGTAAGTATAGTTTATGATTAAATAATAAAAAATCGCAATACATGTGGTTTTAGCATTTGTTTGCAGATAAAAATAAATGGCAATTGATTCAGCACTACCACTTAAATATCATTAGAGGGGACGAAGGTATCAACAGGTTGGATGAATGCGCTTACAATAACAGGAGGCAAAATACGCAGCTTTTAAAATTGTATAGCTGCAGAAGTGTTTAGCAAAGTACACTCAAAACGATGGTGAGAAATAGTTAGATAAAACGTGGAAGAAACAAGAGAATGCGCAACACAGAATGTAGAAAACGACGCGGTGTTATGTAGTAAAAGGCTAAAATACATCGAAAGTGTCCTAACAGTTGGATGTTTAATGAAAGAAATATATGGTGCTTACAGGGGAGAGCAAGTTACTAGGAGAGATACCCTATATGTGTATATCGACTGTGATGCATCTATAAGAACTTGCATCTCCGATTTGTATGCGTAAGCATAAATTCGTTAGAGAAAAAAGAAGTGCATTTTCCGGGAGCTAAAGAGATCAACCCCAAATGGTTGGATGGTATCATAGTACGAAACAATAGATCAACCCCACAAAACATACAATCGCACACACAGTGATATGAGGATACCAGGAAATAGCTTACTGTACATAGAGTAGCCCTAGTAAACGTCCCTCGGACAGGATAAATGTAAAGTGTTGTTCGCTGCTTGCATGAGATTTCGCCCGCATTTGAACTCGAACACATGACGCAGGGAAAGCCAGCAGACTTTTATTTCTAAGCCATCTGCTAAGCGAGAAATATATGTTACACCGGTCTGAAACTGAATGATTACGAATACCATTCAAATAGCCTTAAAAATGTAGTGAAGTCCAAATTAAAATCAAGAGTAGCGATTCATCCACACAATGTGTGCTTTAGAGTCGTAGATAACAGGTCAGCATACGTCGTGACAGTCGTTTCTCGCTGAGTTCCGTGGCTCGGAGAGAACACGCCTACCTGCAACTGTGTCCAGAGTTCGCACCCGAGTCAGGTTATCGCAAATTTTCGCAATAATCTTCAGCAGCTCGTCGAAAGGAGTCTATTACGAAGTAAAACAGTGTTATGAACACCAAATAAATCAGAGACACCGGCAGGCGAGTAGTTTTATAATGTCACGCTAGGAAGAGCAGATCTATTACATCGGCATACTTGTTCCTATCCAAAAATGCCATTCACTATAATCCCTTATTTACACAGATGATCCACGTTCATGGAGTGATTACAGTGCCAATTCAGACAAACAATCGCCGGCCAACCGTTTCCATGAGGAGCTCAACACGGAATCTCCATCATCGAAAGAATCTTTCATAGCAGAGCAGATGCAACAAATCTCACCCACCATCCGAATGCTTCAGACAAAGGCTACAAAGAGCAGACCTCCATCGGACGTTATGGTGTATGAATACGAAGCCTGAGACAAGAGCTTAGATTTTAGTTGGTCTCGAAAGCGGCAATCTATGTTTGTCCTCTTAGTCCAACAAACTGTAAGCCAGCAATAGCTGTTTAAAATACGGTTTTACTGATTTTTATATTAGGCACCACAATAGATATCCTCTAACTAAGGCTCATCAGAGAAGAACCGCGGCCTTCACCAGCACAAACACACGCACACATACAAAGTCTGCTTTGCGGACACTTAAATAGAAGTTAGTTTGTTCACACTCTACACCAATCTAACCGGTCTCCTCGATTCAGGTCCAACTGCCACACAGCTTGCCTTCAAATCTGTGGTTGGTGTGCTACACCATTACACTTTCGCAGTGGATTGCGTTGATCTCCTAATTCGCTTCACGGAAACCGGTGACGCGGGAAACCTGTACAGTCGGATTTTCCATTGCGTCTTCTCCCCGTCCGAAACCCGGAGCCGTCAGCCTTTCGACGAGAGGACCCAGGGTTAACCGATGTCCACGTAGCGCGCCTTACTCCCCCACCCCATCCACACACACACACACACACCTATGTGCTTTGTTTGCTTTCATGCTTCCAGTTGATACATACGTTGGTTTGATATGCATGAGAATCGTTCCTTCATGGCATATATTAGTGGTGTGGCAACAAGATAGTCATGTGTATGGGACTCCAGCCCGGATTTATCCAGAATATCTAACCATAGACGGAGTAGTTCCTTATGATGGCCTAAGTGTAACAAATACTGAACGTCAGTAACAAATTAACACAACCAAAAGGACAAGAGAAATCAAATGATGATGGGGTGGGCTATCAGCCGCGTGTTAGAACACAGCTGGTGAACGTACAAGTAAGTCCAGTGAAATCGGAAGGTTATAATGGATGTGGGAAGAAGCGAGAGTATCATGAAGAACGCCGCCTAGTTGGTTGGGAGAAGAAGTTTCAGTAGCCTAAATACTCGCAGCTACTTCGCTCTTAGGTGGCTTTGGACGTGACAACAGTAATTGGACATAGGTAATCCACATAAATCTAAAATTGCCGACATAGACACAGCCTACAGTCGGCTCCATCCTGCTTCTCTTCCCTGGTTCACCGTAAGAAATTGACCCACAAGTAGGAGTAGGTTCGGAAAGGGAATTGTTTCAGCCGACCAGAGCTAACCGATCACAGTAGAAAGGTTGAAAAAAAAACTGTCAATACTCGTGTCAACCATAGGAGAATCAGGCAGATGCACATTAGGAACAAAACCACTAGGCTCCAATTCAGCTAGCCTATTTACCGCACGGCGTGAAGGTGGGACGAGAACATGTAGGTTTATGTGCGGAGTAGTCTCATCATTTCGTATGAACTTCACACCAATGAATAGGAAATTGCCATCACACACCAGTGACATGACAATCCCCTAAAGATGAGGGGCTGGACATAGCCGATCAATTCATCCGAGTTATCAGCTGCACCAGTAACTACAAGTGCCTGACTACTGGAGTTAAGCCAAGCATTGAGAAAGCCAGAGATGTCTTCAGGCGGTAGCTTTAGCTTCGGTAAGCAGCTTCATTCGATCTCAAACGTCCTGTGCACATGGTCACGAGGATCGTCCCAAGGTAGTTAGTCCATTTAGTGAACAGTTTGGGAACCTCTTAGCATTCGACCAACGTTGTCGATGATGTGCACCGGTGCCGCGTGACAACGGCTTGGCAGAAAGAGGGAGTCGATCAGGCGTGCACAATTGGAATAGCCAGGTGAGCTCCTTAGATAAACTGATTTGATTAAGTTATTGCCGAAGCGAAGTCGATGTGTCCATTGGATGTGGGATTGCGTACCCCGCTAGATACTGGAGCTGGTGAAGCTGGCTATCAGAATGGATAAGGTCCCACCTCGTATTCTTCAGTAAGGTCCGCGCGAGCCAGTTTGCGAGCGGTCCAAGAAATCATCAAACGTGGTGCGCGGTATACGCATGCGGTACGTGTGCCAACACACCATAGTCGGATTAGCTTCTAAGTGTGTATATGGTTGAATTACCCACTGGGACTGAGAAGGACAAAGCACTTCATTGGCCTTAAACTTAAATGACTGAGTTCTGGTCGACGTTTCGACCCCAGTGACAAGTCAGATGTAGTTGTACTGGAAGCAAGCAGCACACTCTCTTGGATTGAACTCAAGCACTAAGCAAGTGCTACTAATTAGGAGCACGCGCAGCTTCACATGCCCTGGCATGTGATCTACGCCTCTAAAATGCAAAATAACTATACAGAAATGTGATTAATTACTATCAATTCACACCACCATGGAACAAGCGCTCTGAGTGATGGACCGGTTTACATATCTAGGCATATGTGTGACCTCTGTTGGTCGCGTCACCGAATGGATCAAAAAGTCATCAGCAGTACGCCGGTACGCAGTATCGACACTTTGCCGCCGTGCAACCACCAGTAGTCGCACATGCGCTATGGGTACTGTGAGGTCACCCGGTGGCTATGCAGAATCGAACGCGCGCCCTCGGATTACAAGATAGGCTTGTGATCCTTAAGGCTACTGGCCGGGGTAATCACACCCATTGCCAAAGTTTTGGTAATGTTCCTAAGCTTCAGTCACTGGTTAAGGCAACATGATTTAAGCTGAATGCCTGATGACAAAATTCTTGTTTGTTTTCATGTTAGTCTCCTGACTATCCTAAACCGAGGATAAGGTTAACATGAAAGAAACAATCATTCAGAGACTGAGAAAAATGATCACTTCAAGGTTACGATTGGCCAAACGGGAACGCCGCGGTTGACTACGAATGGGAACTTGTGCCCAGACTTGAGTTGCCTTGCACTTTCTTCACACTTCACCAGTAATCTGCTTGTTGCCCTTTATAAGTGACAAGGTGATTGCAGAGTATTTCAACTTAAACTGCACAAAATACCAACACTTTTAGTCTATCCATGTCAAGGCGGTGCAAGTAAGTAGCATCCTCTCCCGTCATACGCCGATGACCCAGGGAACAGAAAGCTAAAAAGAACAATTAAGAATAAGTATTTTTTCGATAAATCCCGTCAGGCAACTACAATTAATCAGAAAGAAGGTAAGATCTTTCAGAAAGCAGCAATGAGGTACAGCCGAAGAACATTCGCATTCATCACATCACGCGCTACCTACCTCCTCATTGGTTAGCGGTACTGAATTACCTACCCTCGGTGCCTTCGCAGTTTGGCTCACATCTAGTGGGAACACCGCGTAAGCAGCGAGCGTGCTTGACGTCTTGTTTATGACACAGGAAAAGCAAATGAACCGCTCAACACCGTCATTTCACGCACCAGGCTCCGATGGCTCGGTCACGCGCTACACATGCCAGTCCACCGGCTTCCGCGACATGCGCTGTTTGAGCGCCGGGGGTGTGGATGAAAGAAGAAGAGGAGCGGTGGCCAAGCGATGACTCGGTCGAGAAGAATGAAGGTCCTCACGTCGAATCTGGCCTCGGTTGGAGCTGCACGGCTCCCCGGTTGGGGTCCAAAAGACGATGAACACGTTTGGCCAGATACACTTGCTGACATGGCAAGGAGCCGACCTCAGTGGCGTTCCTGCTGTGAATTTCTTTGTCCCTCGCATTCCTTTTAGCCTTCCCCTCCAATCACGATCGCATTCCGTAGCATAGTATAATTCTACATAGTAATTTTGCTTGTTGCCTAGTAGCCGGCTGCTAGCTTACCTGAACGATGCCTATCCCTTACCGGTAGCTCAGCTGGCATGCAACTGTTGTATTTATTTGCTTATTCCTTTTATGTATTGCGGCACAGTAGCTGAGGTGTTTCCCACCTCTAGCTAACGTATAAGAATGATGACGATGACTGAATTACCAATCAGGGCGACTAACCAAGCCGTACCGAGCCGTGATCATTCCTGGGTTGACCTATAGATATCCACTGGTAATACATTACTAGTACTCGTTTCGGTAGCTGCTTCTGCAACATACTTTTTGCTCCCAGGCGATGACTCCTAATTTCGGTTGAATCGGAGCTAGCAGAGAAAGAGTTCCATGTAACTGGAAGGGAATCATAACAAATGGCAATAGATAAAACCGAGAATATAGTGATCTACTCTGCAGAACAATTTCATATGCTGTTACGGCAAAAGCAAACACAGATAAAGTAGGAATAACACATTGAGATGAGCGCTGGTATATGCGTGCGTTTCGTATTGTCTCACCAGTAACAAAACCATAACAAGAAATTATCTTATACCGTTCAAAGAGTGTTACCAACCAATCGAACGCGGCGAAGTGAACGGCGGCGATGGTCTTAGGACCAGGGCAACCGAAGGTTAACCACTGACTGCTTCTGCAAAAACAAGGCAGGTCTTAGCTGGCTGATGGCCACTGCCTCGGCAAATCACAAGTAGCGTGAATTGGGATGATGTAATAATATCCGAAACGCAGAGCCGGGATCAACCTGATGACGAATCAACAACATATGTATGCCTATTGATGGCGCTGGCGGATTGCGTGCACACGGAATATTGAGTGACGGATGGCTGGCCTCACGCTGAACCCAGTTGGGCAAATGTTCCTTTACTCTGGAATTCAAAACCCGCTCAGTCTTGCCAATGTAACTGACGCCGCTGTTGCACTCAAACTGATAAATACAGTGTGACTTGGTGCCGATAGGTTCATCTTCCTTGGCTGAAGGTAAAGACGGCTTCCGAGTTCTGTTGATCACCAGTCTGCAGCGCAGTAGCTTATCAGAATGGCAGAGATTAAGCGCTTCGTTGCCCTCATTGCGGCGGCGTTACTCTTAAATAGGAGCTCGAGGTATATCTTTTTCTTAGTTGCTGTCAAGACGCTTTCTTGCGGTGGTCTGCTTCGGGACGAAGCGTGTGGGGTGACCGTTCTCCATTAACGTTCTGGTTATTGTTCCTATCTCCTCAAGCATACAATCGCTGGAGCAAATACGTCTGGCCCGAGAGAACAAGGATTTCACCAGTGCACACATATGACCAGGCAAATGGCCAGAAACTACCACTCATGGTCATTTTTAAGAGGAAGATTGCCAAAAGGTTTTCTGTTGGGGTCATCATTAAGGTCAAGCCAAAAGGCTGGTTAGAAGAGGAGAAAATGAGTGAGTGGCTGAGAGAAGTTTACGCAGGAGACCGGGTGGCTTTCCAACACATCTCCGTCCACATTGATCTACGACTCCATGTGCGCCCATCTCAGCGAAACTGTCAAACGCCAAGTGAAGAAAACTAATTAGGAACGTGCAATCATTCCGAGAGGATTAATCAAACTCCAACCGCTAGATATTGATGTCAACATCGTTCACAGTTAAGTCGCGAACCGCGTGGGAGCATTGGATGACAGGTGAGCACAAATTTATCAAGACAGGGAGGCAACGCCGGGCTAATTACCATACCATAGGCCAATGGATCGTCGACGAAAATACGGTGCTGGGACGAGCTGTATTGAAAAACTGGCATAACTGGGCAACCGGAAATGTACAAAGATCATTAGATCAATCAGCCAACCAAATGAAAGGATATAGTCATGAGTGATAAGCGGTCTGATTCTGATCGACTGTGGTGTGTGTGTGCAACATGTTCACGTGAC